GGGGGGCCTCACATTGCACAGTGTTCCTGGGTAAATTACTGCAATTTTTCCAAGAACAACTTGGATTTACTTCAGGAAGTAAAGACATATATCTCCTATACCAGTAGATTCCCCAAGTGGTGCATTTCCCATTGGGGAAATACAAAATCATCCACTCAGCAAATTCAGGATAAAGACTTTTTGAGATGATTTCCATTGATTTCCCCACTCCCAACCATCAATGGATTGGTTTAAGGGAAAATCTTAACCGGAAACCATCGATTTTATCATGAAGATCATGGGGTTTTCCTGCAAATTGTCCCTTAAACCAATCCATTGAAACTGGTATCCTTGGCCCATCCCCGGCTCATCCCCAATCTGTGGGTCCGGACGTTCCGAGAAGAATTCAAAGAAAGCATAGAGCAACCTGCGGCCCAATTCCACTCCAAAATGAGATTACATCCCATTATTATCCCATAGTTATTCCATATTTAGATGATTTAATCATCTATTAGTAGTATAACCCTATAGTTATCTATCTAATGATGATCAATATGGAGTAGTATCTATATCATCGTCTGATACTATATACTATATATGGTATTACTATAACTACTATTTAACACTATTTAATAGATACTCTCCGGTTATTCAACATAGCTTTCCCAGATGCGAACCATGGTGCTGGAATATGCACACCTACATTTACCCCAAAAATGGCACAGTTTTGTAGGTGTGCATATTCCAGCACCATGGTTCGCATCTGGGCTTGGAACATCAAAAATGCACGAAATCGGCGGTGCCAAACCAAAGTGGCTGTAAAAATTCAGAGGTAGACATCCAAAAATGGCGTCTACGTAATCTGTTCATCTTTCAACTCCGGCAATTTCTGTGTTTTTGATGCAGAAAATCTCGATTCTGCCGTCTGCAGTCAGTGGTGAAACTCAACCCGTCAAACAAAAAAAAATGGCCGGTGCGGATCACAAAATCTCTACGAGGCTTTTGAACCTGCCGGTAGCTACTTACCCTCTGGTAAACATCCAAAAAACCAATGGAAAATCACCATTTAATGGGTAAATCAACGAACTAAATGGCCATTTTCAATAGCTATGCTAATTTACCAGAGGGTATTCTGGTGTTCATGGTTGGTAGATCCCAATCTGTTCAAAAGCGAACGTGTTAGGTTAACTGCCGCCCTGAAAATTCCAGGTGCAGGTTAGGATTCTCCTGTTTCACTTGTGGTTAGATCCGAAAAATTCTGTAGATCAATGGCCATGTCAGGAAACTGAAGTGGAAGTACCTGTACAAGTAAAGCAATAGAACTTGGGGCCCTTAGACCTCATCTGTGCTAGGTACCTCCAATAAATCGGCCACTGATTATATGGTATAATAATATTATCTAATGGTTAATATCTTGACTTGTAGTATAATATATTATCATCCAGTATATGTATGGGATAGTTGTATAAACCATATCACCATATATAAACTATAAAAACCATTTATAACCAGGTTTCATAATTTTATTGTGTTTTAGTTCCAATATTTTCTATTGAACACAGCCCCAAACACATCCCAAAAACCCATGGTTTTCAGTAGGGTGATTAAAATCTGTGGTCCCCCACGAGTCTTAAGCCACAAACACGATCCGTAGGTAGTTCGCCACCAAGTATTGTTATTCATTATGATTACCCTCTGGTTATGTCAAAATAGCTATTGAAAATGGCCATTTATAGTGAGTTTTCCCATAAAACATGTTGATTTTCCATAGTTATGTTAGTTTACCAGAGGGTATCATGTATCATCATTATTATTGCTATTTAATATTTATTACTATTTAATATTTATTACTATTATTGCTCATATATTTGTATCATGTATCATCATCATTCCCTATGGATCCAGTCGTACCTTCTGAAAGGAAGTGGGACTGGGGCAGAATTTACTATAATTTGGAGGGTTAGCCGTACCTTCTCAGACAGTGGCCATGGATCCATAGGGATTATTGCTATTGATTACTAGGTACCAATAATCCCTATGAAACCAATAATTAATAGTAACTATTGCTCATGGTACCAATAATCAAGAGCAATAATCAGTTGCATTATTAGTACCATTGCTATTATTAAGTACAATGTGAGGCCCCCCAGTTATAAGTTGGTTTATAAGCCCCAGTAACTAGTTCGTTATTTGCGTACCATAAACCATAGTGACATTGGAGTTATGTTCACCAACTTAGATATCAAACGGGGGCCTCACTAATTGTACCATTGCTTAATAATTAAGTCCCATATTTGGCACATTTTGGGACCATTCAGGGGCCCTTTTGAAAACGAAAACACCATCGTTTCTTCAGCCTGTTCCAATGCCAAGGCACGAGGCCGACGTCCAAGTGGCAGCATCGCATCGATGCATAGCCTCCGAAACAGTGGAGGTTTGACCCGGCCTGGTAAACTTACAAAAAACCAATGGAAAATGGTGATTTATAGTGGATTTTCCCATGAAAAATGGTGATTAACTAACATAACTATGGAAAGATCCACTATGTTTAATGGGTAAATCAACGAACTAAATGGCCATTTTCAATAGCTATGTTAATTTACAAGAGGGTATTCTGGTGTTCGTGGTTGGTAGATCCCTATTTTTAATGGGTAAATCTACTATTTCGACTGGGCCATTTTCAATAGCTATGTTGGAATTGGGATTATACACCCTCTGGTAAACATACAAAAAACTTATGGAAAGATCCACCATTTTGAATAGGTCAATCTTCTCCAACATCCTATGTAATCCTTCTAACTGGGGTGAACTAACCAACTTACCCTCTGGTAAACGTTTACATAGCGAACTGCAAAGACCCACCATTTTCAATGGGTAAATCCACCACGAACTAAATGGAGAGGGTATAGCTTGGAAAATTGAACACCATCTCCTTTTTTTGAGACATATGACATATGCTGCTTCCAAGTCACTGAGACTAGAATATCTTTCTTCTTAAGTTTGAACAAAGTTTAGTTTATGTCCATAGACTCATACTTAGATGGGCCATGGAGTTAGTTAACTAGTTAGTAAATGGCTTATTTCATTGGGATATAGAAGGTTATAACCCCAGTTACTAACTAGTTAACTAACTCCATGGCCCATCTAAGTAGACATATTTCCGTTTTCGGCTATCGCTCTGCTCCGGCTCGGAAAATCAGCAAACTCATCGAGGCGGGCCCCATCCATTTTATACATTTTCAGACGCCCCAAATCACGGCCGGTTGGCTATACCCTCTGGTAAACATACAAAAAAATATGGAAAATCACCATTTTTAATG